GGTTGGATAGAAAAAGAACTGGGCTTTGGAAAGTTATCCCACAAAAAAGTAAAACATACCAATGGTGTGTATGGAAAGATATACAAAAAGTAAATCTCAATTCACTAAAATATAGATTTATTAACTTCAATTAGAAATCTAGTAAACATATAACTGTGAATACGAGTTTGGACAGTACTGAAAAAGATGTTAACCTAGCCTAGTCCAGTTGTGTTCAAACATTCGCCAGCCAAACAAACAAACAATTGGAGCTGAGCAGCGGTATCCTTGAAACTATGTTAACACAATCGGTTGATCATAGTTGCCGTCAATGCAAGGACCATTAATTACACAAATGTTCGCTATCAATTGTGTTACTAATTCTCCTGAACAAGTGGTGTGTAACTTAGGTACCGAGTTGTCCCATTAGAGCACATAACTGAATGTGAATACACATTGTGTCTGAACCAATAGACAAAAGGTAAAAAACACTAGTTTTGATTTGATTAAAAACTAAATTACGTCATGGTGGGTAACGTGACTTAGTACGTTTTCTAGTTTGTGTATGAAAAAAAGGACAAAACACTGGCGTTGGGTTAGAATGTAAAAAAATGTTCTCAGAGTATACAATTTTGTTGTCCTTTTACAAGTTAGAGTACGTAGTCTATTTTTGTAAAATTGTACAAGTTTGGTACAAAACCACAAATAAATAACACCTAGAAAAAATACGAGCAAAAAAAGCTCGTATTAGGTCAAGCAAAACATTGAATCAAATCAACGAATGTCATAAAATATATTATTTTTTCGCCACACTACTGTGAAATTACCTGTTTAGTTACATGTTTATCACTTGAAAAAATTTATCATTACATTGTTTACTAGGGAAAAAGAATGTTTACTACATTTTTTGATTTTGCCGACGTAAAAAACTAAGATTTGTTATTGTTTTGTCAACTGTGTCAATGTAGAACAAACCAAAACCGTACAACCAAAATATTAATTTTCAATTGAAGGCAAAACCTAAAACTGCTATGAATTTTGAAATGTTCCTAACTGTATAAAAAAATAATGTCTGCTTTAATTAAGCAATTAATTAGTCTTTGTAGTGTAGCAAAAAGTAACGTTCAAAACTATAAGTGCGTCTATACATATTCTCGACCATTTTAAGTGTTCGATAAATCTCGCACTTCAAACATGGTCTCAAATATGTAATGCATTACTTTCTACTCTTGCTATGAAATACAATTCGTGTCCAATGTATGTGTTAGCCACGTAAAACATTCTCTTATACAAAAAATCTGATAATAATATGTTTAATATGTTATTTTAATCATCAGTAATGAAGACACACGTTATGACAATTGTATGTCTCTGGTGTACATAAAACAAGTTATTTTCTCTCTGATTTGAGTATTTTCACAGTAATCGTCATATTAAATTCTTCTCGGTAGAAATCCAATGCCGTAGGGAAAGTCTGTATTGGCGGGAATAAGCTCTGATTTGGCGGGAAACAATCAATAGCTTCACCATGAACCAACGCTGCTTGTACAGTAGTTTATAAAGACATGTTCAACCATCGAATATTGTAAAGAGCAATTCAAGACATATTTTTTTTATCAAACTTTGTCAATATTGTTTTAACTGCCGAGATTTTACGTTTAAGTTTAAATAAATTAAGTAGCCTACGTTTATAAGAAAATCATTAACTTAAATAAGGAGTAGTTGATTGTAAATAGCTTTTGTAACAAATCTATTCTTATATCCATTAACATGATTGTCGAAGTGCATGGATAGTAAAGTTATTTACACTGACGAAGAATGTAATGACTACGTAATCCTATTGTAAAAAGTAATTTAAAGAAAATAAAAGAGTTAAGTACACAAGAATAGCTGAAAGAGGAATATGTAAAAGAGAAACACTTACGTAATAGAATTGGTTTTGCACGGTTATATACGAGATTGTAATAACATTCACACATGAGCGTTTTTCAATTTCCAACAACCTCTCGCCTTTATTCTTCACAGCGAGATAACTAAAGTAAAACACTACATTGCTCACTTGTTTATACTGACTACAAAGTTAAATTGTGGTTGAGTTATTGTGGTGAGCTTTTAAATATTGCACGCTTTTACAATTAAGTATTGCTACTTAATGCTATTTTAATACAAATAGAATTTGATATAACATAGATAACTATTGATGATTCAGGAGGAACAGGAAATCAATTGACCTTTCACTGTTCGTGTAGTAGACTGATTAAACTGCATTATATATACTTTAATTTCCACTAGTTAATTTTTACTCATGTGGGTTTGGAGATAACCTTTTTGACTACTACAATAGATAGCATAGATCTTATATTTTTACAAGTTGTATCGTCAAATATTTATGTTCACAATTGTAGTGAGATCAGGGCCGTACCTAGATGCTCCTTTGTACGTGGCGAACAGCGTAAGTGCGCCCTCCGGGGGGTCGGGGGGGGGGAAGCGGGGGGCCCAGGGCCCCCCCCCGGACAAATGTTTAAATTTTAACATCAGTAAAACACATTTTAAAGCAATTCTGACTCTTTAAACATAAAAAAATCATTCAGATTTTGAAATTGAAAATTTAACTTTTTGCTAGACTATAATGATTTTTTATGGTTTTTGCTTAAATGATTGGTTAAACAATATATTTGTATAAAACATAATGATCCGTTATCCCAATTTTATCACAATGTATATTAAGGTAATTAAGTAAACAATTAAGTATCCCTTTTTGTGGAATTTAATTTTAATAAGTAGGCCTAAGTTACAATAAGTACAATTTGTACAGAGTTATTTACATAAGTTGTAATAGTTACAACTGTTTTCTGACTTCATCAATATAACCAATAATAATTGCATTATCCTTGCTGTAACGAGAGCAAACTCATTGATTACTTTATTGAAATCAATTTTTGATGCTTTGTCATTCTCATACTCGATTGATAAAATTGCCAAACGCCCGACTCCCGACTGCAACTGAACTGATCAACCGACAACGATAACTGAAACTGAGGCCTCTTATAGGCCTCTTTTATGCACGGCGTTTTCGGTCGGGCGAAATCGTCGGGCGGAATCGATGTCCCTTTTATGCAGTTTCTCCGCCGAGCGGAATCCGCTGATGCCCGTGGTGGGGGTGGTCAGTGCTACCAACTTCGTTCATTTTGCCATCGTCAGTGACCCAAGATGGATCCTTGTGTATTGGTGTATACTTATTTGTTCATGAAGAGAAATAGACGACGGCGAAGGAGATGGGCTGTACACCCGGTTAATGAAAGTAGTAGGGTGGATGGGGCTTTCACAAACCAATTATTTTTATATGGGTTGCTGCGAAATGATGGGGAAAAGTTTGAGAAGTTCCTACGAAACAGTAAGTTTGTATTATTCCGCGGATTTAAACAAAAATGTAATTAATTCTCATGCAGTAATTTTTTCCCCTAATTACATCATTTTTTTGTACTCTTCAATCAATTACAATGAATGATATTCTATTTACAATGATTACCGTAGGTGATTTCAATACTGTGGATGACAGAGCCTGGGGTAGGTTGGCAGCACTAAATTCCGCCCGACGGAAAACGCAGTTGCATAAAAGGGTTCCATTTGAACCTATGTAAAAACACGCTCCACGAAACGCCGAAACTCGGCGGAGTCTAAGTCCTCCGTCGGCCTCCGACGGAATTCTGAAACGCGACGGAGATTCCGTCGTGCATAAAAGGGTCCCATTTGATCCCATATTAAAACACTCGCCGACGGAAAGCCCGATAGATTCTGATAGATTCCGCCCGACGGAAAACGCCGTGCATAAAAGAGGCCTGAACGCCGCAACACCGACCGGCGGACAACGGTTTTTAGCGGCAACGAGTTGGCAATCGTTATTTAAATAACAGGTTGCCGCAACACATTATTGGGCAGCTGCGTTATCGTTACAACCGTTGCCGGAAAACAACGATAATTTCCAAATGTACTAAGTAGAGTATAAAGGCTTAACGCTGAAAGTGGCACTGGGACTGGACTGGAGTGTGGAGTGGAGGAGAACTGACAAGTGACAAATCAAACAGTAATACGCCCAGCGTTGCCAACTTAGAATTAACACAAAAATAACTAAACAACATAAAATAAGTATAACCACAACCACTAACATAAATGTAATATAAAACGTCAATTTCTATTTTTTTCATCTAGCTCACAAAAAAAATAAAATTTGCCCATATTTCCCATTTGCGTTCTTGCCCAACCAGCACCCATTTTGCGCCCTTGTCTAACCTGCGCCCTTGGCAGGGGCCACCTTCGCCACAGCCTAGGTACGGCCCTGAGTGAGATAGATTACTATACTAACTAGTTTAATTTAAAATAATGTTAATATTTAGGCCTACCTATGTAAGAAAAAATAAGTTTTTAAGATTTAAGTTTGGAGGTATTAAGTAATTCAAGTTTTTGGTTGTAGTGCAAACAGTCCCCAAAATAACTGTAAGAGAGAACATTTGTGTTTCTAGGAACAATGCGAAATATTCCATAATTTATACCTTCGTAAACATTATTCCATCTAAAACCAATTTGTGATTGTATAAATTAGTACCTCATGAATCAAACAATATTTTTGGGCCACAATCGATAATTTCACCACTAGAATTCTATCCTGCAGGGTAAAATATGATACGCTATTTTCAATGGATCTTGATTTTGATTTGATATTTTCTAATTAGTACACCAGATTTTAGAAGTATTGTTAACTAATTTTCGTGAAAATCAACACTTTTCAGTAGGGAATCTCCTAAGTCTTTTAGCAATAAAAAAACGTTAAGTTTTAATGGAAGTTACTGATTTGAAGCACTTGGTTGAATCGTTGTGAATTTATGTTTGAGAAACCGATCCCTTTTTGATTGCCTCCCAACTATAAAAATAGTTTTTGGGAATTGTTTCCTCTCACTGTCGCGTGTCCTATGCTGAGTCATCTCTTATACATAATGAAACGTCCATGTTGAGATGTCACTGACCTTTGGTGTGAGGTAGTGACGCGACAATCGTGTCCAGCTTGGTCGGGTTCAGAACGACGTTTTGTCGAACTGTTACTCCGCCCGTCCTCAGGGCAGACTCCAGCTGTAGAGCCACACTTGGCCACCAACCACGCTCTGCAAGCGAAACATACATAAACGCCATATATACACACTATTCATAGCATAACATCCTGTGACGTAGGAGTCAAATCTGTGCATGGAACTTATCAATACAAGGGATGAGCAATTCAGGAGCACAGCAAAGGGTGAGTCGATTCAGAACAAGCACTAACCATACCGATTCAGTTTTAACTGGGACTCGAACCCAAAACATCACTGCTTTGCTTAACAATCCGTCGCGCTACCAACTCAGCCACTGGCTTACTAGGTATTTGTAAAATAATTCAAAAATTTTGCAATCGGATCACTGAGTTATGCAATCATATACATACGCAATGTGTATACATATCATACTGTAAAGGTATACTACCTCGACATAACCTTAGACAATACAATTAATACTTAACAACCAAAACTAAGGTTGAACAAAGTATTGACATGGTTTCTTTCATGAATAAACATAGTTTCATAAAACATGAATATATATATATATATATAAACTTACACTAGGCTGTTAAGGGGACAACAGAATAAGAGAACAGTTGACTGTTCTCTCATCAGCGTCTGGTATAGTAAAATTTGTCAGTATTGCCAACCTTCATAGAACAACCACCAAATGAGAGGGAAAATAGATAATAAGAGGACAGCAAAAGGTCCCTTTAACATCTTCCCACATGGCATGGCTGTTGAGAGGACACTTAACCGTCCTCTTATTCTTATGTCCTCTTAACAGCCTTGTGTAAGCTTAAAGTGTCCTCTCATCAGTTCCATGTATAGTAAGCTTGGTATTAACACTAAATTTTACTTTCCTTTTCTTGATTATGAGTTTAATTACGTAAAAGGGTAGAAAAAATGTTACATTAAGATATGGTCTAATATGAATATTTATCACTGCCTATACATACCTATAAAAATGTTCTATACTACTGTCCAGCCCCATAAATATTTCCAATCCCCATCCATCCAATATATATTTTCAAAATCAAACTCTTTTCGCATCACTCACCCGCGTACCCATATAAAATAATGTTAATTTTTTTTAGATTTTTAGATTTTTTATGCTGTATTATTGTTTTTGATCAAAAGTTGATACCCACGTAGTGTGCCTGAATTTTAACCGTTTTGCCGCATCTCTTACCGTTTTTAAGATATAAGCATTTCTAAAACAATAAAGCAATGCCACTCCGGCAGTGCCTGGAGTTTAACCTTTGCACCTATTCTAGAGCCAACGTTGACATTATAATACAGTGCATTGACATACAAATGAACATGTTTAATATATTTAACAAATGGTACCCATATAAAATAATGTTAACTAGGTGGCTTTCGCAGAGGCATCCACAAAATTGAGCGGAGTCATCAGGGTTCCATATAAATATATTGTTATTGACCTTCACCATCGAGCTTCATTATTATTTTTACCTACAATTTTAAGTGAAGAGAACATTTGTGTAAAGATAAATATTGGTGTAATTAGATTAGCTACACGTTGATTCGTAAAAAAAGGGGAGTAAAAAACACGGAGATGTAATTTTAGGCATTTTCGGAGACCTGCATTTACATTTTAAGTTTAAACCCTCAGGGTTAGTCATCAACTTATTCTAAAACCGGGTGGTACAGATGTAACTTAAAAATCAACCCTTTACAGTTTCGAATCCTACCATTTTGGCTACTAATAACTGCATAAGAGGGCTTTATGTGATGGTTAGAGTATAAGTGAAACCAAGAAATATATTTTCGTTACAAAAGTTATATTAACATTCACATTTGCATTTATTCAAGCGTTTAAACCATAACCTAAGTGTTACACGTTAATAATTTGTATAATCAATCGGAAGGTGATCGAAGACGAAGATTAAGCCGTCGTGTTTTGGCTAAAATGTCTGTGCTTCCTAGTCGACCTTGTCACAGAAAACATACTATAACCATTATAGTAGTACTAGGTAAAACCCGTCGAAATCGACGGTTGCTTTAAAGGCTTACGACAATTCTTCTAACTGCGAAAAAAGAGTGAAATTACAAAAAATGTGCGCATTTACCATTGTTTAATGAATACGGTAATAAATAGGTGTAAAAACAATAATGACTATTATGCGTTAGTTACAAAATATGGTTGATCATTCAATGAATAACATATTTCTTATATCGTCCGTCATAGGAGTTATTGTTCCTATGTTAACTGGTTTATCTTCTTTTTGATGAATATAATATAAAGAATGCTTTTGGAAGAACCTTTATATAGCATTAAAATCGTATTGGTGGATCTTTTGTGGTACACACTTCTGCGATTTCATCAGTGTTATGCAGATTAAATCTGTGTGTGTGTTTTTTTTAGAAAATATATGTTTGTTGAGAAGGCACGTTCTTATTTCAAAGGGAGGTCCACCCTAAAGCTGTGAAAGTTTTATTTTTCCTTCGTCACGTCGGTCATCATACCGTACTTCTGTGCCAATGAATGACCCTCTAAATTTAGCAATTTTAGCATAAAATTGATTCCATGACATGCGGATGTCAGTTTTCTCAGCCTTATCAATTACATAAAGTGATCAATATAATGATATAATATATCCTCGGAATGTTAGGTGTAGTGGAATATACTTGGAGTGATGCTGTCTTTTATTCTCGAAATGAGGGACCTCGTTCTTATGGCCATGCGGCTTCATTGGCAACAAATAATGCAAATGACAAAGCAATGCTGCATTTTCAAAAAGCAAATACTGTAAATTGTTACGTAAATAGTGACGTTTACATGCATTGTTGTTAATCAACGTATCTTAGAAAGGATGAGGATATCTAGTTCAAAAGGAACACGACCTTTCTGTCATGACAGTAACTGCTTAAATGGTAATTACTCTTTGTGACATTTGTTTTACATTTGAAGTGTAGTGTTATTTTCACAAATCTCACTTAAGGCCAACCAAGCGGGCCCCGGTCCGTAATAGGCCACTGCAAAACATATTTCAAGATATAGGTACTATTTTAATTTTAGGCAAGGTTTCTGTGTTTGGATATTATTAGACACGATAAGAGCACAATGAACTTCTTCTGCAGATCTTTATCATCTTTTGGTTAAGAGAAATATAAATCGAATGAATAAGTGTCACAATCCAAGCGCATTAAAATGGCTCTGGCCTGAACTTTTTTGTAGGATCGAGTTTGGACATTTTGTTTATGTTACTATCTGGGTAAGTTACCGGTGCATTTTGAGATATTTCTTTTAGAGATAAATTAAATGGGTTTTGTTGCTGAGTAGCGCTAGTAAACATGTACAACCCTTTTCGTTAGTTTAATAACATTCAAAGGCTCTATTCTGTTTTCACTAAGCTGAACGAATACATCGAAGTAACACCTCTAAAAAGTCTGCAATAAATTGCAATTTTGCAGATTAATGACTTTCTAAATCATACACACATGTCTTTATAAAAATTATTAAAATATTAATCCAGTTGCTGTAAACCACTATTAATTTAAACAAAATATGAACACGGCTCATATGGGCAACGTGCCCTTCTGCACTTGTATTATTTTGTATTGTATTACACAATCGAAATCTTTTTTAATAATTGAAAACATGTATGGAAATGATCTCATGAACCTATCTGTCTTGAATAATATGACAAAATATCGGCAAAAGTGGTCAAAAAAGCAGACACCAACCCGTACAATAGATATAATATAATTCGATAAGAAATCATTTTAAGAGTTTCTGTAATATTAAGATTTTCCAATGATTTCGTAATTGAACGTTATATTGCAAAACATGAGATGATGCAGAACAAAATAAATTTTAAAATCAGAAAATTACATTGCAAATACTTCTTTTTGACAAACTCAGTAGTGTTGTTTAAAATGCAATTTTAATATTAACAGTTGCTTCATTAAAAAGTAGTGAAAAATTATCCATATGACGATAATGTAAACAAATCTGGGAAGGAAACTTTAAAGGATTTTAGGGCAGAGCCCTAAGGGAATTTACTTCGTTTTTCTGTTGATGGCTCTTCTACAGACCGATACCTTTTCTTGGACACCTCTACCAAGTTTCTACGCCCAGCCGTTCTCTCAAATTAGTGGGGACAAAGTTTCCAATTAAATGTTTAGATTCCCCCATGTTAATCTTAAGGGAGAAACCCCAACTTTGACGGAAGATCCTGCCCAAACTAATAAAGATTTCAAAATATGAAAACCATTTTACAAATCTACAAATCAGGGTAATTTTTTGGCACCTTAATCATCAAAATCGGTTCAAAAATGAGGGAGGAGTTTTGTTCACAAAAATCGGCTTAGCGTTATATATATATATAGATGTTTTCTGTATCCTTGTTGATCTCAACAAGATGGAACTATTTGCTACTTGGCGGCATTTCAAACACATCATAAAATCCACAATTATTGAAGGAAACCTGCGTATGGATGATATGTAAATTTTTTTAACGTGTATGGTTTTCATTTAATCTAATTCATCACTTTTTTATAAAAGCTAACATTAAAAATTCAGTTTTTCTCAAGTAAACCAATCACATAAAAAATATTAACTAAGACACTATTATTTAAAGAGCTGTATGTATTACCATGTAAACACATAAACTTTGTTCGCATTAAAACATGTAGTTCTGTTCTTAAAAACCCCACAAGATTTATAAACTAACTAGAGGACCCATGCTGCTCCGCAGCGTTGAAATAAATATCATATCCCAAAAATAATTAAACTTTTACGAGCAAATTTCGTTTACATATAAGCCGAGTGAGACTGCAGAAAAATATATGCTTGATAGGAAGTTTGTTTGTGCTTACCTTCAACTTGAGGCCTTGATCATGAAAATCGGTCGGGTAGAAGAGCCAAACGAACCCGGAAAAGAAAACCAAGTCTAACTCCCTTAAGAAATACATGGGGAGCAAATTTCGCCTACGTATAAGCCGAGTAGGACTGTAGATATATATATATGCTGATACTTGATGTGAAATCTGTGCGTGCATACCTTCAATTTGAGACCTAAATAATGAAAATCGGTCGGGTA